AAAAAATCAGATGAATTAATTTCTATCATAAGTATATTCTTAGATAATTTACCAAAATGTGATTTTATGAGATATAGGCGATTCTTGATCACAAATTGACATTGAAATTCTCAAAATGTGGAAGTGTAAAACAATTTTGTGCCTTCAAAGTTCTTGTTTTAGTATATTTTGATTATAGCTAATCAACTATGTTACTATGCAATAAAATCAAGCTAAAATTAAAGAAGTCTCTGCTTAAATAAATTTGTTCCAATATTAATAAACGTACACATATAATCGCACGATAATCGTTGAAATGCAAGAATGTATATTGATTTGCGCAAGTGAAGTACGTTGTTTTTGAAGCGCAAATGTCTAAAATGCAAACGAAAATGAGATTAAATTGGCCCATATCCAGATCTTAAAAGTTATTGATAAATATAAAGAATAAGTAAAAACTTGAAGAACTCAGAAGAAAATGATTTTATGCAAGTAAGCTAGACTAAGAAAAACGTAAGAGAGAGTTTTATGATTCTGTGCCAAACTTCACCTAAAGATTCGAGTGTTTCAAACAGGAAAAGAGATATTGTGCGGCAACTCACAGCAATGGTCGGCAAAAGTTTGAATACATGAGTGCCAATTTTTGAATAAATCAAAACGAAAGCGACTTCGTGTGCCAAACATTCTTGAGTCACTATCTGATTTGAATAGTCTTAGAGTCTAGACTCTAGAATGAAGGCAAATGGTGAGACAACTCTATCTCCTTGGCACAACTTTTAAATATTCGGTATGAAGGTTTTAATCTGTGGCTAGAAAACAATAGGAACACGGAATATAACCATGAAATGATCAAATTTCAGTCACATTTGTTATACACTGTGTTACATTTCTCCCAAACCAACTTGAATTGGTTGTTCATCTGTTTTTAATAACTTATACACTAATGTACCGAGAAGAGAGATCTTGTGTATAGACTTGCTATGCATACAATACTTTGAAGCCAATGCAGCAAAAGTCTTCTTATAATACCATCCTATTCATATCTGGGAGGTATCATGGGAATTCGAAAAACAACCGCTATACAGTATCTGTCACATACGTCGCGCATTTATAAACACATCACATCATAGTAAGTGGTTGAAAAAATCTGTGCCATTTCATTGGGTTGAGTAAAATCGATATTTTCATGTAAAATCATTTCTCTGTGAATTTCACCTAATTGGTAAAACTGAAATAAAGATGCAGCAAGTCGTTTTTCTTAATTTTTATTTTACAAAGTAATTTAAACGTTAAACAGTGGGCAACTAAATATTTTAAATTGATATCCGCTCTAATTTAACTTTGGCATTCTTCCTGGACTGTAGAAGACTGTATAGGAAGTTAGAGCTATTATAGGAATTTTCCAAAAGTCAAGTACTGGTTTACTGCTATGTCGAATTTTCCCTGGTGTATTCCAGAAAAATTGCCCTATTTGCTCAATAAACAACAGTAAAATCTTTGATACTCTGGTGTCTTAAATTTATGTATTAATTGACACGATCTGGTACAAAACAAACGAAAACAAATATACTTTATTCCATATGGCATATATATATGTTCATTGATTTTCAAAACTATTTAAAGGCAACTTCAAACTAAGCAGTCGTGTAACACAGTCTATAATTGCTATGAATAAATCCATGAAATTCGACTTTTCAATGTAGTCTGTTTATCTGCCCAAGCCCCTCGTATCTAAGATTCACTAACACTAGTGACAAACACAGCTGGCCCAGAAGTCAAACATTGAAATTCATCTTATTCTAAAATAGATTTGAAATAGCGATCTGTAAGACAATCCGAACAACTGCACGTTTTGGGCGTGTCTGCTACAGCAGTAAATTTCGCTATAGCAACAGTGCGTACAAAGGTTGCTGTGCACAAAGAGATAAGACAAAATAGGAGTCTTTTACAGAGCAACGGGATTAGACTAATCGGCAGGCTTGTCCATGGGATTCCCATGGAAAACGTCCCATGGGATAAGATGTGATTTGACAGCACACATTTGTATTTCCCATAGGACGCGTGGGACACGAAACCGTATGATTTTCGGGAAAATGCTGGTTAAACATTTCGTTATGTACTTCGTGTCCATATATTTGAGCATAGCCCTCTTGTTAGTTATAAAGAGCAAAATATATTCAGCAATAACAACATTCTGTGTGAAGGGGCTGATGAACACATGTATAATGGTTATGAATATAAGGATAACAAAGTCCGTGAATTTTGGTGTTTTGCACGTCTCTTCGTACATGTAGTCCTTCCTATTCAGTAGACGCTGAACCTAAATTTATCAATTTTGATTGAATTTTATTTCAATGGGAATCCCATGCGATGGGATAGGATGGGACAGACATAATTGCTATGGGATGGGATGGGAATAGGACAGAAAAATATGTCCCATGGACAAGCCTGCCATTCGGCTTGTTTGCGCTTGGCAAACATATATGCGTCGTGTAATCCGATTCACCAAAGCATGTGAAATAGCAGGGCCTAATATTAATGGTAGTCTCATGTATCCCTACTCTTTTAATACGTTTATTATATATATATATCATGTTCTGTATAAATGTTTTTGATCCATTAGCACTTACTTGGCATCAGGTTGTAGCCTCAGTGGCGCTTCATTGCTCAGCTCACGATCAGACTTAACAAAACGTACGTGTTCCGACTGTAAATACCAGGGGGATTTTGATATTACTAGCTTCAAGAAGCGACGCACATAATTAATGTCCGCAATGTATTTTATCTTGTTATAAAAATTTTTTTTTTAAATTCAGTTGGATATTCAATTTTACATGTGGCAAACTCGCTGCAGAAAATAACTTCAAGATCTCCCTGGGAAAATATCAAACGCAAATCTTCCGTAGTGAAAAATCTTTTCTTTAAACTTTGCTTGATTTGCAACGATATTTTTCATGCAATTTCTGAAATATACACCAATGCGTCATATTATGTCGTCATATTTTCTAAAATTATTTTAGAGCTTCCTTCGGGTACGAGACCTCATAGTTATGCAGTTGGATAACATATCATCTATTTTCAAACTGAATTTTTCCATTGCCTTTTGCGATGGCGCGAGATTATAGATGGTAGTTCAGTCACTTTTCGAAGTGAAGCCTGACTGGGCAATAAACATAACTATAATTGACTATAACAATTATAGATTTTCTAACAGTACTTGTACATGATTCAAGTGATCAAGTCTAAACTGCAATTCTATGTGTACATGTTTGGATATGGATAACTGGAAAATATTGAATGCGCTTTTTCATTTGAACAAAAGCCATATGCGTGAGTTATATATTTTACCACGTATCCCATTTTTTATGCAAAAAGTTCTCCTCTCTTTCAGTGACATATTGAAATACTCTGTACTCTCTTGCACAAGAGAGTTTTTAAGGACTATAAGCAAAAGTGCGTAGTTTTGATACGCCAGAAGAAAGAAATAAAAACCACCAATTGATTCTAGGAAAGCAAATAGTAAATTTTTCCGGTTCTGGTTTTCCACCATCAATTGTAAAAACCGTCGAAAATTTTTACTGAAAATGATTACTTTTTTAAGGATAATGAGATCTACAGGAAAAATAGTTGAGAAACGCATGCGGCTCTAAAAGCCGCGGTTGCGAATAACTGGCCTAGATCGATCATAGTCTTTTTAAAGGGCGCCAACAGTGCAACACTGGAATGTTTCGTAGATCTTCACGTTGTTTGCTTGTACATGCGACTACGTACTTTGAAATGATTACCTAACTCGCGAAATAAACAAAGCTAGTCCGTACATATTTGAGACCGACATCAGCAGAGCGATAAACTTTGGCTTTTTTGAACATTCACAGCACAATACTTGTTCAATAAATAAAAGTTGCAATTGCCTAATATAGAAGATATCATAATTTCACCACAGGTAGTCTATTCAAATAATAATTAATATTTTGTCTATGAAGCACAGCAATGAACTCAGTGCAAAATTCGTTTATGAAGAGTTCCTGGCATTTATTCGAGGTCATCGAGGATTACTTACTGCTCTCAACAAACTATTTTGTAGATCAATAATTAATCCGGACAACAATGTTTGTATGGAAGAAGTATGTGCAAACATTGATAAATGTTTGTCTTTTAAGATAAACCCTCTTCAATTACATCACCAGGTTTTTGTACATATTCCTATTACATGTAACACTTCGAATCCAACTTGTTAATGTAAGTAACGAGATAGCAATCAGAGACCGCCAACTTATCGATCTAGCGGCGTTTGCCCGTCGCTCTGACTCAACAGCGACACCGCGTGCCCATCATTAATTAATTAATTAAATAAATTCATAATTCATCCAAAATCAATAAGCTTCTGGTCCGAGATATGATGAATGCACATGCAAAATTTGGAGCAGATTCAACCTCGCTTTCGTGAGATATCGAGTGTATCTAACAGGCAGACAAAGGAACAAACAAACAAATACCTAGTCAACATACTTAGCGATCAAGATCGATAAGTAATAATATACTTTATGCAAACATGACGACTGTTTAATTTTTTTTTTGACGATAGCGTAAAGCACTGCTTGTCACATAACTGTGTTGCGAAATATGTCAGGTAAGCGACACAAAGAACTTATTAGACAGATATATAAGGTATATTGTGGCGTAGAAAATGGTTTATTCAAGGGCATATGCCTATATGAATTGGAAAACAGAACAGAAACCGGTATTGCAAAATTATTTTCTATGGCAGATAGGCGCCAACGGAAATAGATTGAAAATATATTTATTCGTTAAATTAACCATCTGTTCTCCTATTTAGACTCATGAAAATAAAATTTGGACCCTGAAAAAGAGTCTTCAACAATCCTTACTGTATGTGACATAAAGAATATTTTTCATAAATAAATAACACAAGGCATTCTAGATCCCAGGTAGTCTATCATTTGCCGTCCCCTGATAAAAAATATTTTTATTTTCTTTTTTTATTAATATGTATCTGTGACGGAAAACTGATTCAAATTTCCGGCGTCTTTTGATTGCGATTTAACAGGATATATATTCGGTTCTGCAGAGTCAACCATGAGATTTTATTATATTTTGGCAGCTATGCTGCTTGCCTGTGAGGTGAGTAATTAGATAAAACACTATTAGTGTATGAAACCATTCTTGACATTATTTCTGAAACACTTGTTGAATTATTGCACAATTCATAGTTTATATCATAACTTACAAATAAACGTGACATTTTAGTTCCTACCAAAAAATGTTATTAAATTAGGTAACAAGAGAGATTTCATATCCATGCATTTTTATCAGTTATATTTTGACAAAGAGTATTTATTTTCAATAATTTTTTTTTTTGTTTGTTTACAGGCTCGTCAACTGGTAGAACCACTTGGTAAAGAATCATTTTATTAAAGCTCATTTACTACAAAATATCGGTTGAATGGTGGATTCGGAAGAACAAATGTTTATAAAAAAAAATTGATTTGATTTTTGGAGACCACATTGAAGAATACTATTTTACTTTCAAATGAAAAAAATATGACAGCTGTTCATGTCCAATATGTTCATATAGCATCCCCATATACGAAGAGATTACTCAAATAGCAAACGAGGCCATATATCTATGTCCATACTTAGCACTTTATACGTGACAGACCGACTCATTTAATAAAAAGTTTCGTTGAATTCAGTTTAAACTGAGTAGCATTTGGTTTTTTCCGTTTTGTATTACAAACTTGCCTGCATGAAGACAACACTCAAATGAAGTTTTACTTAATGTTAATGTCATTTATAGGCGGATTTTTCGAGAATGGACGCATCGAGGAAGCACACGAAAAAAAAGACATTTTTGAAATAAACAAAGGTAAAAATCTACAATCTCATAATAATCGGAATAATTGCCCTTTTTCCTTCTTCATGTAAAATGTTCGTTAATTTTTTTTGTTGTTGAAGGAATCAAGGGACTCGTGCATGGAGATGTTATCCCAAGAAAAAGTAAAGACACAAAGAATACAGCTCGGAATGAAGATTATTTTTGGACTTCTACAAATATACCGTTCGTTTATTTCGATGAAGAACAAGCCGTGAGCTTGGAAGTAAGTTTCAGTGCCTGAAAATCTGTGTAGTTATGTTTTTGTATTGAACACTCCTATACTGACATATAATTTAGATACACCTTTAATTTTCATATTTCAATCATCAGGCGATTGGTTCAATTGAACTTGCTCGTCAAGAATACAAACTCCGAACTTGCTTGAATTTTTACGAAAGAACTGATGAGCCAAACTACATCCGATTTGTATCTGCAGACGGGTAAGTTCATATTCGAAATTTATAGCGAAACCATAATTTAAAAATGTTCGCTACGAAATTAGACATATATGTCAACATGTGAATCATGGTTGAAAAAAATAAATCTAATGTCAACAAGTTAAAAAATATTGTGGAATAGCCGAATAAAAATTCAGTTTTCTTCTGACACTGTTGGTGTAACCAGGGATGGGGAGTTGGTTCCTAATCACAGTGGACTCCAGTTTCTAAGTTTCTAAGTTTGACCACTGCCATAAAATATCTGCCCGAATGCAGTGTTGTGGAAGCGGGACTCAAAACTATATGATACAAGAGTTTCACATTTCAAAATTAAATAGTACTCCCGTAGTATGTGTACCAGGATAGGGTTATGCCATAATTTTATTCCAATTTTTCTTATTTTTTGTTATATTACAAGTTCGGGCACTGTCTGTTTTTGTCAAGTGAATGTACCCATAGGCTTCCATCCCTTTACACAACTTGATGCAAAGTAGGCGAACAAAATTAGTTACCTCCATATTGGTACACTACTTCTGGAGCGCCGTTTAAAACTCGATATATATATAAATTCAACTTGAAACTTTTAAATTAATATTATAAATTGAAATTTAGGATCTGAAAAGGATAGTTTTCATTATTTATATAAAGTATTAAAAAATTATAAATGAAAAAAAAAAAATGAGATGGTTAGAAGCTGAAGCCACTGACATTTCTCGTAGCTCCGGCTTCATTTAACAAGCTTAGCTTGGCTCCAGCTCCACTAAAATGTCACAGCTTCATGACCTCAAGCTCCTGCTAACCAGCTCTGGGTGTAACTGTTATTTAATATCACATTGGAAAATTACTTTCACTTTTCGTTACAGTTTACCTCAAAAAATAGCACGACAATACCAAATTTGTTTGTTTGAGATTGAAAATTATTGTTCTACAAATTCAACTTCATACCAGAATTATGTGTTATATATTTATCAATCATAAAATTCATGTTATGAAGTAGGTATCTGATCATGAATAAAATTAATTTCTCCAATTATAGGCGATATAGTTAAAAGTTTAGTCAGATTCATGTATTTCAGTCAATGGATTGGTATTTATTCAGCGATATATATCAAGTTTTATATTTAAAAAAGATGTATGAAGCAGAAAATTATACTCGTTGATATCTTTGTATGATAGGCAATAACTACACGAATGGTCAAACTTGAAATATTTTCACAGGTGTTTTTCGTCTATCGGAATGATTGGAGGGTTTCAGAGGCTTTCAATCGGTAGCCGATGTGAGAACATGGCTGTTTGTTGTCATGAGCTAATGCACGCTATTGGCATTTGGCACGAGCAATCAAGAGCTGACAGAGATGATTATGTGGAAATCATGTGGGACATCATTTCGGAAGGTATTTTAACGTTAAAATGAATTAAGACTAAATATTCCAACGGAGTTGGTCTTAAATATAGTGTGCCTAAACTGCCGTATTTTCACCAGATAAATATCCAATGCAACAATTGATTTTACATCGAGGTTGTGGGTGTTCTTTTAAAAATGTTCAGAATCCTATCCGGTTTTGATATAGAATCACAATCGTTTTTTCAGTATATAAATATTTGTTATAAACGCTGACACGCGCACTATCCCAAAAGTAAATACAACAGGCGACACAAACGGTAGCCCAATGAAATGGTAAGATTCACTGAAACAATACAGAATTAGAGTGGTGCAGTATCCGAGTAAATATGATCATTAAAACAGCTATGTGGTAGTGAAATAAAAATAATTGAAGTTGAAGTAAATTCAAATGATTGAAGCTTTCAGACGAAACATTTTGAAAAGATGTTTGTGTAACATGTCTTAGCTGGACGAAGTCAGAAGTCTCGATGGGAAACAGTCATTTATTATCTGTACAATTAAGATGACAAAACGGTTTCTGTCAATTGCAATTTATTTTGTTTCTGTTAGAAATCGACAAATAAAACTCTATTTGTTAAAAATAAAACTCCTGATGTTAAATTTAAACTATATGTTTTTTTGTTCAATATTAAATTTGACAATAATTGAGAAGATTTAATATTGAATTCGCGATCATTTATGAATTTACATCATGCTACAGGATACGAAAGCAATTTCTACAAATATGACTGGGAAATCACTGATGCTCACAGAGTTCCATATGATTATAATTCCATAATGCACTACCGTGAAGGTGGATTCAGGTAAACCTAGTGAAAATTTCGAAAAGCGCCAAATTAATCAATCGTTTTGTTTTGATAGGAATAATTGCGTATACACAATTCATGTATTTTGATTTACAACTTGAACTTTGTTAGCCATTCAGTATTTTTATCTATAACTCTTTGTTCGTGATTTTCTTGTATACGACATAAATAGTTATATACATAATCATATATATCATAAATAGTCACACATGGTCTTATTTTTGATGGCAAAATTACAGTCTTGAAGCTGATTGTGCTCTGTACAAATACCAGTCAAATTTTCAAGCAGCCACGGTAAAGTATGTGAGTTTGGATGAAAAGCATTTACTTTTTTTTATGCAGTACAACCGGTGATCCTACTATTGTGACCCGTGATCCGGCTTTCCAAGATATTATTGGCGAACGTTTGACATTCAGTAAAGGAGACACCGATAAAATCAACAGAATGTACAAATGCAGTAAGACACAATTCGCATTTTCACATCGTTGCTATGATGATTACTCATATGATTTTTAGGCTAGATAAAATTAAAAATAACCAATATTAACCGTTTTCAAAATTGTTAATAATGGTATCAACCAGCTATATTAATTGTTTAAATTGCATAATACACACCATGACGTGAACCCCCGACCGCTCTTCTTTTTAAGAAATATATTAATTAGAACACAATCTTCGTAAATAAATAGTCATTGATCATATTGTTTCGAGAAACCATTTTGCATATTGTTTATTTAAGGCGATACACTCTTGTATTCATACAATTGTAACTATGACGACAAGGCTGCCTGCGGATATGTACAGGATTATGACTCAGATGACATCGATTGGATCAGATATGATGTTGGGGATAAGAGTTTGACTGTATCACCAAATGCACCTACCGTTGATGCAACTTTGGGAGTTGCTGGGAAAGGTAATTGGTAGTGTACATGATTTTTTCTTGATCTCTGATTTAAAATATAATTCATCTCTGAAAGACGAAAATCGATCAAATGTTATATATCAAAACAATCTTTGCCTGACGCTGTAAACTATCGATGATCGAAAACTTTAAAATGCACTTTATATCTATGTTTTAACATCTATATCATCGCAGGTTAAAATTAAGAATATCAGAAAGGTTATCGAAAGTATATTTGTTCAACAGGTAGCTACATGATCTTGGATAACAGTGGAAAAACTGGAGGGCAAATGGGTGAAATGAGAAGCATGAGATTTGTGACAAAAAGCGACGTCCAATGCTTACAATTTTCATACTACCTAGACATCAAGGACACGACCGGCCCTGCTGCAATTACGTTAGTTTATATGATATATATTAAAATACGTTCTGATTGAATTAATTCACGGTATAAACGAGGCATTTTATCGTTTAGGTTAGTTCAACCGTGAACGGTACAATAGAAATTGTCATAGTATGACAGAGATCGAGGTTCGACTCTCAGATCTGATAAGAGGTGTACGCTGTGAAAAACAAGAAATCATATAATTCCCAGTTTCATTATTAAAAAACTATTAAATATTTTATTAGTAATAGGGTTAATTGTGTTCATCGAGTCTAGTGATATTAATATCGGAATGTAATTCGACGTGCTGCTTAGCTCAATTCCGATCTCTATTTTATTCAACCAAGGGCATACATGGCAACCCTCGATGACGTCACAGGACAAGTTGTTGATCTCGGCCAACCACTTCACACATTCAACACAAGCTCGGATAACAAGTGGCGATATCACAGAATGAGCATCAACGCAGAATCGGCATATCGTATTGTTTTCCAGGGGAAAACAGGTTATTTATTTCAATTGATTCGTGACAATAAATAATCAATCAAATTAGTAACCACTTGGTTGGCCGTTGTGCATTGAGCAACAAGTCAAAGTACATGTCGGCTGGTGGTACTGTATTCAGAACAAAATCGTTGAAACTTCAACATCAACTGTGAAAGAAGAAATCGTAGCTTCAAAAGTGTGCTTTTAATCATTGGTAATTAAAACGGTTCAATATAATGCTTTTAATATTCAGGGCTTGACGATCAGGACGTAATTGCTATAGATGACGTCAGCGTTCAGGACAAACCGTGTGAAGATGACTATTTTGTCGTTGATGATTACAATGACAAACTAAACACATTTGCCAAAGGAGAATTCTATACCAGTCCTGTACTACAGAGCGACGAAGGATATTACTACAAAGTCACGGTATTTAAGTACTACTTGTATTTCTCAGGTTCATGGATAGCTTCGAAAAATAATTGTGCAATTACGAATAAAACAAGTGTAACGTTTGGAACGCAATGCTCTAATTAACTGTTGTTTCTTATATCTTTGCTTGATAATATCATCTTCCCGTTATATTTGACAGATGTTTCATTTTGTAATCAAAATTGCAACATAGTGTTACCATGTTTATTGTATTTTAAGACACAAAAAAAGCTTTTTGTAGAATAGAGTATTTCGATTGAGTCAAGGCGTGATAAGATTGAAGTTATCTTTAATACATTCTAGTTCTATATAGTGCTCCTGTTCATTCTTGTAAAATGCAATTCATGAAAAAAGCTTTTAGAAGAAAAGTATTTTGCTATAAACTCTGATAATAATACGTCAGGTCCTAATAAATATTTACAATATTTCAAATTGGAATTTTCACCACAAAACTTAAAAAAACTGTTATAGGTTTATCCCGTCGGAACGGCAAGCTCAGCTACTGGTTACATGGGAATGTTCTTTGGCTTAGTGGCAGGTCCTAATGATGATACATTGAGTTGGCCTTTCTGCAACAAATATATTCGATTAATGGTCGTTGATCAAAGCGATAATCCACTGTACTCACTCAACAAATACGCTGAATTTTTAACAACACAAGCCGCAGGAGGAGATCTATGGAATCAACCGATATTAGAAGTAGGTACCATTAATTCAAAAACGTTAACATTATATTCATAAACGTTTTTATAGTCAAATAAATAAACTTATTGAAAGAAATTGTCTTTAAAAATGGAGAAAAAGAATAAAACTATTATAGTTTTTAGCACGAAAAGACGTTTGTTTGGAATTTCGAAGCCAATTTTTTATATGTTTGTTCTATATATATATAAACTGAAACATGCAGCTTTTTTCAGTTGTTTCGTTCTTGCACGTAGATATTTTATTTTCCTTTTATTTCTTTCATAATAACTTCAATATTACCTACCTTCCATTGAAGTTGTATACACATTTTTATATTTAGTTTTGATAAATATAGTGGATGCACGATTTAATTGTCGTATCGAATATTCGTTGTCATTGAGGGTGTAATGAAATATTGCATGTTTTTTGAACAAGATCTGGTTTTATTGGTGTTATTGTATTTCTGCAAGTGATTTTTTAGTTTTTTTGTAACTAGATGTACATTGCAGACAGATCCAGAGGGATATTATGGCTATTCCAACTTCATGCCTATCAATGATGTTACAAGCACTCATCATTATCTCAAACACGATTCCATCATGGTATCAGTCCTTGTTAAAGGTAAGTAATAAACTAGAAAATACCAAATAATAATAACTGGTTTGAAATAGAATCATATCAATTGAAAAGTATAAAAACTATACAGACTTCATTTTCTTCCTAAGTAGCTACATTAATTCGCTATCTCTCACAAACTATCATAAATCTCTAGGTCTGTAAACTTACGGGTAGTGCTTTGATCAAATCATGCTTTGATGAAGGATGAATTAGATAATCTAAGGTCTAAGTAATACAGTATTGTTCTAAAATCAGATATGAATTGGGTTCACGGTGACGTCTGCAATGGCACCTTCACTCGTTCAACGGAGAAGTTCGCAAAATCAGCATCACATAATGGTGGGCAACCAGGAATCGATTATATCGAAAACGATGAGTACGACAAAGATTATCGCGATGGCGACCACCATAAACATCATGACGATGAACATCATAATGAAAACCATGAAGAACCCCATGAACATAACGACGGCCATCATGAACATCATGAAGAACACCATGAGCAACATGCCCATGATCATGACAGTCACAACGACCAAGATGACGATGAAGCAATGATATCAGTTGGAGCTGCTGCTGGAATGGCGGTTGGAAGTGCCACATTCGTCTTTCTCGTGATGGCCAGTGTGCTATGTTGTGTACAAAAATCTCATAAACAAAACATGAAGCATGTGGCAAACAACATAACTCTGTAAGTAAAATTGGTATTGAAACAGATGGGAAATACCGCCAGGCGTATTGGGTATCATATATCACATGTTATTTGTGACGTCAAGCGTACCATAAAAACAGTGTTTTTTTGAACATTTATTATATGAAGTATTTTTCAGCCTTTTGGTAGCATATGTGACGGTTTGCCTGAATCGCCTCATATTGCGCGCACTTTGCATGAATATAGTCTTGTGTGGGTTGAAATACATAAACTATATTTTAGATTAGCGATAATTAATAAGTTATTCAAATGATATATATTATATCAAGTAGTTGAGCCTATTTTTTATATATCGGAAGACATTCACAATGTTGATTATTAAAGCACTAAAACATAGTGTAATAACATGTAATCATTGATTTTACTATTTTCAGGCACACCAGCACTCCAGTTCCTCCTGCATATCCAAGCGAAGGAAAAATAACTTTCGAGTCACTACCAGTGAAAATTTAAAAAATGATTCGAGAGGCTTGAACAAAAAATCAGATGAATTAATTTTCTATGAAATAAATATTCTTAGATAATTTACCAAAATGTGATTTTATGAGATATATTCTTGATCTCAAAACGACATTAAATTTTTTATATGTTAAAGTGTAAAACATTTTCGTGCCTTCAAAGTTTTTGTTTCAGTATATTTTGATTATAACTAATCAACTATGTTATTATGCAATAAAATAAAGCTGAGATTAAGGAAGTGTTTGTTTGAATAAATTTGTTCCAATAATAAACATACATATATAATCGCATGATAATCGTTGAAATGCAAGGATGTATAATAATTTGCGCAAGTGAAGTACTTTCTTTTTAAAGCACAATTGACTAAAATGCAAACGAAAATGAGATTGAATTAGCTTATATCCAGATCTAAAAAGTTATTGATAAATATAAAGAATATTGGGACCTCCCGAAGTATGCGCATCAAGATGACGTACAACCTGAACTCAGGTTGTGTACTAGGCTAGGGTTCAGGTTGAATATTGTCTTAAAGTACAAACTTGAAGATTTTATGCAAGTAAGCTAGACTAAGAAAAACGTAAGAGAGAGTTTTATGATTCTGTGCCAAACTTCACCTAAAGATTCGAGTGTTTCAAACAGGAAAAGAGATATTGTGCGGCAACTTACAGCAATGGTCGGCAAAAGTTTGAATGTATGAGTGCAAAGTTCTGAATAAATCAAAACGAAAGCGACTTCGTGTGCCAAACATTCTTCAGTAACTACCTGATTTGAATAGTAAGAAATGAAGGCAAATGGCGAGACAACAATTAATTGTGTTAATCCGGCTCGGGATAACGGCGACAGGAATGTTAAGGCTATCAATTTGATTTGTTTCATTGACTAAAGACAGTTTGAGCTCGTGATTGGGGGGGGGCTTGAGTACTGTGTAGATTATGCGGGTTACGCAATACTAGACGTACATGGAAAACCCTTGCAATGAGGATGAGAAAAAAATTTGAAGTACCAGCCTGGAGCTTATCTGCGATCTCCAAACCTTGCGTTCAATGGAGAGCATAATCTTCATCGCACATCAAGAAAAAAAAAATGCCGTGACCTGCCGTTAGAAATGATAGAAATTTTGTTCAATATATAAAAACCAACCATTGTATAACTGAGGTGTTTCAAATATGTCTTGTCTCTCTTGTGTGAGTTTATGCTGGAAGGTTCCAACCTGTCCGTCGCGTCATATTAATTTGTGAGAACTACGAATCTTTATTAATACCATGCCGATGCCCATTGGCGAAAGCGTTCCTTAGCTTGTCGGGACATAATCACTGCTTACTATAATAGCAGTAACAGGGACAGAAGCCTGTTGCTTGATCTCTGATTTGACAGTACCAATCTTTGCCAACACAGCAAAGAAGTTGTTGATTTCGATATTTTATTTTAGAAAAATAAACATTTCTTTTGCATCGAATTCTAATGATCAGATCTAATCAGGTTGAAACAGTCAGTCACTGTCTGCAATTGTGTTTATCATGCTTGCTCATCTTTGTATTCGGATTAAAATTGTGACCCTTGAGCAGACAGCACTTTAATATATACTAGCGTTTGATGGCTTAGTTCCTTTTTGGGAAGGTTCGGCTGTTTGGTACTAATTCGGAAGTTAGGCCTAAAATCTAACCTTTCTTTTTTTAATTAGGAAACTTGCTCAAAGCGAGTACAAGTTAGATCAATGCCTCTGAGCTAAAGTGTCAAGAGCCATTGAGACTATAAATAATTATAGCGTAGAATTACGCGTTAGGAAATAATGATTAACACTAGGCTTGAAGCAGTCCGTGTCATTACGTCAGCTATGAGGTAGTGAATGCCACATAACTGAAACTCATGGGAAAAAAATTTGGGCATAAAATTGTTTTGTCTGGTATTTACACTGATGGTGAACGGATGCAAACTCACGAAAATTGTTGAAGTTCCCAGTATAATTTCGATTTCTGATTTTGTATAATAAAAAATAAGTTATTTTCAATTAGTTGTATGCTGGGACAATTAGTTCTGAAAATTATTTAAATACAATACCATAAAATTCGGTATTCCCTTAGTATGTGTACCAGGTTAGGGTTGGGCTATAATTTTATTTCGATTTTCCTTATTTCAGTTCTATTATGAGTTCGGGGACTGTCTGTGTTAGCCAAGTGGATATCCCACCTGCCCATGGGTTTTAGTCCCTTTACACAACTTGATATAAAATGGGCGAACAAAATTAGTTACCTCCATATTGGTACACATAGTTCTGGAGCGCCCAAAAATTCAGTATTAACATTTACAAGATATAGTTCAAAATCAAACATGCATGAATTGGGTTCAAAGCACTTTGAACCATTCTATAAAATTTGCAGCATAATATGGGGGCAACCAATAATCGGCAACACAGTTTTGGATACTTTGCGCTTTTAATTGGTTGGAAATGCGAGAACCTAATTGAACTACATTGTTTCCACGACTGCCAACTTTTGTCAGATTGTTCACCAAAATTCTTATATTCCGGAAATAATCGAGAGCATGATTGCTCCGGTTTTTGAATTTCATATGTTGAACGCTCAACGGCCACAGTGTAGGCTTCATTCATTGGTGCAAGACACCGATTATAGAAAGTTTAAGCAGTGAAATGAAAAAAAATTCCATGCGGAAAAAGAACCAAAACTAGTCACAACAAATTCTAGTTAGTAAATTTTGTAGGCTATTTTCTACACTGAGCAGAAACTCTTCAAAGTCGCAACGAGCAATTTAATTTTGTTTCTGTCTGAATACATTGCTGCTGACAAAGTTACAGTGATTTATTGGACACGAAGTAGACATATGGATCGTTTTGTTAATATGTTGTTGAGTTGGTATGTTTCTTATTGTTGTGACGAAATCGCTTAATTACTGGATCATTTGCTCTGAAATTTTCAGTGGTTAAAGATTATTGTTGACGATATAAGTCTATTTTATGGTTCCTAAATTTGGTAATCATTTGGTATTTTGATTCAATCTGGCACTAGACGCACGAATCATCATGGTCACATGACCCGGTTAGGCTAGGACAGTATGGGTACCCGTTGGTAAGTTAGGGTAGGTATTCCGCGCGGTTGCATGCATCTTCGTACAGTATATGATTTTTTTTTTTTTTGAAAAATTGTGGGTAAAATATTTGTTCTTCGTGTCCATATATTTGAGTAGTAGTTCTTTTATTTCTGTATCGATGTCTTACATAAATTTTATCTTATATATTTTTCTCGGTTAGTCGTTCAACTAGCATACTGACGATATTACAATGGGGCCTACAGGAGAAGACTCCGTTTCCTTTTATGTCACAATGAAAGAGGAAAAAAGAGAAAATAGATATACACGCAATATAGTAATCGCATTGGGATCATTGCAGATAATAACGATGGTTATATTTTTTGTCGTGATCATGGAGGTGCACTTAATTCAGTATAATTTTTGTTTTCAACTAAAATATATATTTGAATTTTGAATGGAAGCAATTGTTTAATATGAATGGGAATGCTAGGTTCCTGACTTAATTAATAGGAAATTTGACCGATGTTGCTCTAGAAAACGAGTAATTGTATTTGAACAACGACATTGAGTTAAGAAAATCATAAGAAATATGTATGATACTTACCTATACTTCTTTTACAGATTAGAATCAATCCTGATACCAAAAGTAAGTGCTTTTCATAATCATTCATGATAAGAATATTTATTTTACAGATATATTTCTACATATGTTTGTAGTATACAGGATATTAAAATATGTAAAAAAAAATATAGTTCAAGTTCAAAATATTCAAATACTGTAACCTAAACTCGTAATTTCCCATCTAGGTATAAAGTTAAGACAAATCTAATTTGTCATATGCTTGTTCAACCTTTCAATACCAATCTCAAGTCAATAAGTTTATAATTATTTTATTACTACTATTTTGTTACTACTACTTTATTATTATAACTAGTGTTCCTCAGTTGAAAAAATGGAGCATTGGTAAATAACTTAACCAGATTGTTCAGACAATCTGACTCAGTGGATTCGATCGATTATACTTGAAATGTTATAAATAAGTGGATCCGATATTAATTATGCTTAATTGTCAGCCGTTTTCGTGATTTTTTTCTTCATGATAAATCTGTACTTGAGGAAATTTCGGATTTGAATTGGGAATTATGGCAATTCGACATGTCATATATAATTTTATTACTTTTGGTGTATTTTTTAGATACGATAAACAATTTCACGGCGAAATTGGCGAACATGGACTTCAAAGACGCCATTCTTAGCAAAAAGGAGATTGCTTTAATCGATACGGTAAGCGGCGTATGTTAGATCACAATTCCAACATCTTGCTGCTGGGTATCGTTATGCTTGTGTTTCGCTTTCTGAGTGGCCTCCATACCTTCTGTGGAGCCGAAGTGCGCACTCTGCATTATAAAGTTATGTAACGACATTGCTTTTCAACAATTTGTTCTGAAATGAATATTATACAGCAATACACTGTATTATTATTTTTTCAGTATGATGATATTTCTGATATTGGGGAAAAGGTAGAAGCTCTGATGCGTATTTCCGGATGGTACAAAGCAAAAAACAACCGCTACTACAAACTGTTTCCTTTAAAAGTCAACTACTTTACGGCAATCAATAAATGCAGGAGTTTTGGAGCAAAACTAGCGTCTGCTGGAATACGAAATCCAAAAATAAGAAAGTAAGAAACGTCACATGAACTATTGAATATTTTTGTTCTTGAACAAAATCAATCTAAGAGTAAAACCACTAATAATGTATGTGGATGCAAATAGTCAAAACGTTGAGACATTTTTATATTTGCCCCATTCCAGGTTATGGTTATAGTATGAAAAAGTAACCTTTTGCTCTCGAGCCTATAGCAGTAAGTCTGCGTAAATTGTTCTTTTCCAAGCGAATAACAGGTTTTGAACAATTGTCTGCTATGACAGATTATTTACTATGTAACGTCATGTTACAATTTATTTCGATATATAAACATTATTCCCGCTCCCGAAGTATGTGAACCAGGAAGGCATACACAGGAACGTAGTATATGTACCAGGTTAGGGTTAGGCCATAATTTTATCCCAATTTTAGTTCCATTACAAATTCAGGGACTAGACAAGTGATTGCGCTTTTGTGTCCAAAAAGCATCCCATCCAAACGCGGTACTATAGTTTATAAAATTTTTGATTTTGAAATAGGGAAAATCAGTAAACATCTAAGCAACGACATGCAGCTCAATTTTTTTGTTTCAGTGAAATTATTCCTAAATTAGTACAACCAACTGGACTTGACACTTGGATTGGAATCGATGACCTAAAAATGGAAGGCAGATGGATTTGGTCAGACGGTGTAGCATCGAACAAAAACAATACAATATGGCGACCTGGACAACCAGATGATGCTAGGGGTAAAGAAGAGTGCGGACATCTGGATAACGGTTATCAATGGGCTGTTAATGACAACATCTGCACCTTGTTGTATTTCTTTCTTTGTGAAATTTGATTGGGTTTCTATACTGTTTTAATGCAGACTCTATTTGGGATCATTTCACAAAATAAAATACTCCGTAGCATTACTGTAGTTATAGATGCGTAATGTTTCAAATGTAGTTTGTATAGCTCTTTTATATAGAATAAAATGTAATAATCATCATAAAATATATATGATGTAATCAGTTTTAGTAATTATTGAAGTTTATCATATTATACTTGTAGGGTTACTCTGTATACTAAATAGACATATTAAGATCTAAGGAAAATAAACCAGTATACATGTCACAAGAACCTTATTAAACTACATTGCTTTCAAATACACTATATAAAAAGAAAGTAGTAGCTTCGCCAGTTGTCGCAAGTAGGCGTCCATTAGCCGTAAATGAATTATATATCAAAATTAACAAGTGTCTCAATCGTATAAGCCAATTTCGAGCAAAATGTTAAAGCTATTTTAAACTTGTGGCTACATTTTACTGTAATTTTTTTCGACTGTAATTTTCATTTAACGATGTTACGCATATTCATTATTTCTTATAAATCTTAATCAATATTTGATAAACAAAATTAGCATTGTTCAACCAATAATTCATAACAGTATTAGCATTTTGATAGTAGAACTAGGATGCCTGTCTTATATGCATAAACCTAAATAGCTTCTTCAGAATATATTTATCAAGAAATACATAGCGAAGACATTGCAAGATTTATTGATTAATTTAGTTTCATTTGTGTAACTATAGTTAAATTTTGATGGCAGTAGCAATAAATGCTGCTGATGTTGTTTGTTACAGTATGGTGATTTGATTACAGTTATCAAATTGAGAGTGTCTATATTGCGGGAAGACATTTTTTTTTTGTAGTTTTACCTTGGCATGGAAAAGTTGAAAGACCATAAAATTTTTGTGCAACAAAAATGGGCCACAACAGAAAAAGTTTGAGAACTCCTGTACTAGTCAATATCATCAATAAATTTTCATTTATTTTTTCTTATAGCAATAAATGTGATTACTTGCGGAGGTTTCAATCTGAATATTATTGGGTACATCGTCGTCTTCTATTTGAAATGCACTTTCGATACTGCGAACCTCGAGTTCTTCAATTTTTCCAGAATTAATCAGACATTTTAAAACTTCATCAACAGTTTTTGCCACCTCCACATTGATTCTACTTTTTGATAAAACAAACAAAATAATTCCTTCAGGTATCAAAACATTCAGAAAATCTTCCAATACTTTGGGATCCAAATGATTCTTAGTTATTGCTCCAACGCACATTACACCATCGTACTTCAAGCTTGGACTAGGCATAATAGGCTTTCCGGGCAAGATAAATTGAGTGAATAAATCATCATAGATCACCTTTTTTCTGGCAACATTAAGCATTTCAGCACTGCCATCAATCCCATGTAATAGTCCTTTAAAATTGTTTTTACGTAAAAATTCTCCGACTAGTCCAGTGCCGCATGCAACGTCGAGTATTTTTGTCGATTCGCCACAACCTAAATATTTCAAGGCACATTGTGAAGCTTGATTTGGAGAACTATAATTTAAAACGTCAAGGTCGCGATCGTATTCCGTGGCCCACTCATCATAAGCTTTCATCAAAGCTTTTTCTCCGTCACATTTGTTATACACTGTGTTACATTTCTCCCAGACCAACTCGGCTTGGTTGTCCATCTGTGTTTAATAGCTTATACACTAATGTACCGAGAAGAAAGATCTTGTGTATAGACCTGATATGCATACAAGAATTTGAAATCAATGCATTAAAAGTCCTCTTATATTACCATCCTATTCATATCTTGGTGATATGAAAATGCATCAAGTCGCGTTTCTTAATTTTATTTCACAGTAATTTAAACAAGTAATTTAAACGTTGAATAGGTCTTTTAGAAAACTACTAAATAATTTAAATTGATATTTGAATATCCGCTCAAATTCAACTTTGGCATTTTTCCTGTTGAAATGTTGTCTAGTCTAGATTCTAGAAGATTGCATAGACCAGGGCTGGCCAACCTGCTTTCGACCTCGATTGACTAAAATCTTCAAAATAGATCGCGATCGACTGATCGGTAATAAGGTCCTAAACAAAAACGAATGGGCACTGAATGTGCAGATAACTGCACACACGGCACACGCATACAAAAACTTCCTCCGCGGCCAATAAGAAGGCTTTGTGGGCACATTATTATTAAAATCGACACAAAATTTGTATTTTTTATGTTTCATTTAAGTAGTTTATTTGATTATTTAATTGTTCCCGGAGTAAATGTTAATTTATTCATTTAAATAATACAATTCAGATAAATGGCGTGCCTAACTTTTAGTCGGAAGTGTTGAAAATTCTTCAAGAAACCTTGCCAAGTATTATCCAAACAGCGAAAAATGAATATTCTCAAACCATAAATGTTACATGACTGCTCAAACTTCAGTATCTAATTTACAATTTCCTCCAAACGCGATTCTTCGCTTGCTTAGAATTAAAACAAATTGGGCATTTTTATGCCACTGCTACCATTGCGAATAAAATTTATCACACTATTCTTGGAGTTAGACAATACCTTTTGCACACTCTGGAAGTTATTGAAGGATCGATCGTTTGTCAGTCTAGTCTAGACACGCGATATTCGACACTTCATTTTTGAACCTTGGCATCGGAAAAACTTGCATTTGTTACGTAATAACACCCCTGGTATAGACAGTTGGAGCTATTACAAGAGTATTTCAGAAAAAATACCCTATCTGCTCAATAAACAACAATAAAATCTTTGATACTTTGGTGTCATTGATACGATCTGGTACAACAACAAAAACGTAAAACACATTCAAATAATTTCATATGACATATATATATATGTTTATTGATTTTTAAAACTATTTGAAGGCAACTTCAAACTAAACAGTCGTGTAACGCAGTCTATTATTGCAATGAATAAATCCGTGAAATTCGACTTTTCAATGTAGTCTGTTTATCTGCCCAAGCCCTCTGTACCTAAGATTCACTAACACTAGTGACAAACGCAGCTGGCCTAGAACTCGTACATTGAAATTCATCTTATTCTTAAATAGATTTGAAATAGCGATCTGTAAGACAATCCGAACAACTGCACGTTTTGCGCGCGTCTGCTACAGCAGTGAATTTTACTTGAGCAACAGTGCGTACAAAGGTTGCTGTGCACAAAGAGATAAGAAAAAATAGGAGTCTTTTACAGAGCAATGGGATTAGACTAATCGGCTTGTTTGCATTTGGCAAACATATATGCGCCGTGTATTCCAATTCACCAAAACATGTGAAATAGCAGGGCTTAATATCAATAGTAGTCTCATGTATCCATACTCTTTTAGTGAGTATATTATATATATATATATAAATATCATGTTCTGTATAAATGTTTTTAATCCATCAGCACTTACTTAACACCGGGTTGTAGCCTCTAAGGCGCATCATTGCTCAGCTCACGATCAGACTTAACAAAACGGACGTGTTCCGACTGTAAAATACCAGATGGATTCTGATTTTACTAGCTTATCAAGAAGCGACGCATCTAATTTATGCCCGCAGTATATTGTACCTTGTTATAGACACTATTTCTAGCGTGGTGAAAAAATTCAGTTGGATATTCAATTTTACATGTGGCGAACTAGCTGCAGAAAATATCTTCAAGATCTCCTTGAGAAAATATCAAACGCAAATCTTCCGCAGTATAAAATCTTTTTATTCAACTTTGCTTGATTGAACTGCAATTCCGTGCCCATACCTAGCTGTACATGTTTAAATATGGTTTACTGAAGAGCATTGAATGGGGGGGAGGTACTTGCCTTAGAAACAAGCAGATGGTTACTTTGTAGGGCCGCGGGTTAAAAAATAAGCACAAATCTTAAAAATAAGCACGATATGGTAACCCTGGTTATAGGGCATTCAGGATGATAATTGTTGAGTTTTGTTTATGGTAAAATTTTTCGATTTATTTATCCAACACTTTATATTATAGTTGAATCAAATAAATATTATCGAGAATCACACAATAACGAATTATCTTGAACAGAAGAACCTATACTATATTTATAAATGCGTGGGACATGTAGTGCTTCTAATTATCTGCCTATAAGTAAAGATCACGCCGAATTACTACCTAAACCGCCAAATTAAATGAAAATTAGGCTGGAATTTTCAATCTATATGAAATTGTTACATGATATAATTACTATTAGCTGATTTAGCTCGTTTTATTTCAACATCACATAGATGCCTGAAGGCATTGTTGCGATTTTGATTCTAGTCAGTCATTTATTTGTATTTATCGAATCGGCAGTATACTCAAAAGTTTGTTGTTTTACCACCCTAAATATTTGCAAGGTGGCCGCGGGGAAAATTTATTAATGCATTATCTGAAGCATCAGTTGGTCAAGTTGTCGTCGCTAGTTGTCTTGCATTTTGAAGCAATTTAATCGACATTGATCGCAGCAACGGATTCGGTAAGTGCCGATAAGTATTTTAGGTCACCATAGTCGTTCAATTATTTTGTATTCGTCGTTATTCTATTTTGCCTTCCGAGATTTTAGTATATTCTTCAAATTAGATCCTCTTCCTTCTGTTTTTGAAAGTGACTCATATCTCGTGGTAGAAGTGAGCATTGTCATGTACAAAAAGGAGCAGTTGCACTTGGTGGTACCATTAAATAGACTCTCTTTCTCCGAATTTTGACGAACGACTGACTCTCTTTGAAAACTAGAAATCTACTTTTTCGCAGGTGCTTACCACAAGGGACAAAAAAAAAGAATAAGAGAAATGTATATTGGCAACATAGCAACAAGTCTGTTTGTTGCTTTTGCATTACTAGGTAACTTTTCATACTTTTGGGTGAAAATAATATTTTACGATATCGATATAAGTAAAAATAACGACTACTGAATAATGTAATGACTGGATAAATTGTTGAAAAATCAGAGATTGGAGAACAAATATCCTTGACATCGTGGGAACAGATAATGTTGTTGTCGCGTTCAGTACTTAATTATAATTTTCCGGTAATTTTAAGGACCAAAGTAATATTAAAAGGCAGTCTTTCCGGTAACTATCCCATTATTGAGTTTATATTTACAAAGTAATCGATGAATGTTGCTGGTTTGTATTAGTAATATGTGGAGCGCGTCAATCAACGTGCGGTAATTATAATTGTGTAATCATTGAAGGCCTAATGACTTTTCCTTTACTCCAACACTTCTGTTCTGTTCGGTATAAGCACATACAGTAAATTGATCTTACATATAACATAGTTATTAACTTTCCTAAACAATCTTAATTTGTCACGTATCTGTCAATTATGAACAAGATAGGCTGTACGATTAACAGTCCGCACTGTTATTGGAAATTTTCTCTTCTAAATCAACAAAGGTTTTATTTTCAGCCTCAGTATTAGCAGATTTGAAGGTATTGTCAACAACAGCTTCATCTATTGAATGGAATTTAGAAGACCAGTTAAAACCTGAAAACAAATATACTGCTGAGGTACACACCATAATTTTATCTTTTTCTTTTTTAATTTTTATTAATAATATAATAAGCAATAAAACAATCTCAATCACAATTTTAATTTAGTAAATTATCGAATCTCCAAATGTCAGTAATTAAAAAAGTATGGCGAGTGAGAAGTTGTTTACACTTAAATCATCATACATTTAAGTTATCGTCTAAACCTGCATTTATATAGTGCCCATATTCGAACTTGGATGTTCGAATTTGGCTCGAGAGTTCAGTCCGAAAATAAGCATTTTCAACAGATCATTTTTTGTTAATGTTTTCTTACACCTCTCACAAATATTTTATAATAATTTTCACGCCCACATAACAGAATATTACTTGTAAACTAATTGACATAAATTATCTCTTGGACCAGCTTTGTGGTATCTATACTGTGGTAGGTCCGATATAATCAAAGAGATGTACTTTCGTACTGGAACGATTGAACCTACAACTCGAAACCTGTTTATGAGACCACACAGATTACAGTTCAAATCATAAATTATTTACACAGCTCCAAGCATGACCGTGACCTGAATTTCTTGTCATACGTACAATACTCTGCATCTAGTATGAATTTTCAAATGTTTTTATTTAGTTTATTGAATTAGAATTATGTTATAGGTTATTCAATATGCCGGATCAAGTAAAGTGAGAGTAATTGACGAACCAATAAGAACGAAAATTAAATCGTATCGGGCTTTCAATTTAAAGTCAAACGGTCTTTATCAACTGCAGATTCGTATGGCAGGAGTTAAAGGGATTCATATAATGAGTCCTCCAACTTATACTAGTAAGTTTTCTAAATTAAAAATACATACTGATGGTAGACAGTGTAATAGTACAATAGTACGCATCCAAGCCGACGACGTTTAGCACTTTTTCTTTTCCAAATTGCGAGTTTATTTTAATAACAGATGTGACCAAGCTGACTGGATGATTTTTAGTTATTCGTTTAATGACCCTTCATATTTATGATTTTTTGTTATTTTGAAAGTTTGAAGCTCAAGAAATTATGCCATTCTAGTTAAAATCCATCCCAATAATAAACTTTTTAATCAATGATATAGATTTAAAATGTTATTCCTGTACCGGAGTCAAAGATGCAGATTCATGCACAAAAGTAATCGAATGCTCACCCAACGAAAGGCAATGTTATACTCGTGTGAGATATTTGCCAAAATCTGGAGGCAGATTTTCAATTTCGAAGGGATGTAAAGTTTCCACTGATGTATGCAAGCCAAATTTGGTAAGTGAGATGTTATATTAGTTGTTTATTTTAACAAAACAATCTCAGGTCTCAAACAATCAGCTATTTATCTATTCTTTGGCCTACTGGCTCCACGATGATTCTAGTAGTCATTCAAGAAATCAAACGAATATATTTGTGTAGGATTTTATTGTCCGATGAAAAACAGTCCTCACCCGACAACTATAATTCACCTCTAACGAAGAAAAAGATTGATTAAATGCTATACAATATGCAAGATAGACTATGAATGCGTATGCGCACTTGATTTTTTAGGAAAGAATAAAAATACAGAGAGAAGCCAACTCTGAAACTGGTGATTTAACTGATGAACAGGTTTTAAAAACAATGCCAGGACTGAAATTTGTGAGTATCAAAGTATTATTCATATCTATGCTATATGTATATGATAAATGTTATTATAATCACACGTACAATTTTATTCAAATCCTTTTAGCCACAGTATATATAAACAGTATATCTATATTTAAGTTGGGTTTTGTGCATTGCAAGAATCAATTCTAAAGACGAAAAAAATATGAAATTCCTATGTTAACCAGTTGACGAAAATCTTTATTTTCGGACATAAATCCCTTTCTATTGCCTATTTAAAACGCTATCTTACACTTTTTTACCTTTCGTCACGAGGCACTCAATCCAAATGACAAACTTATTAAACTTGGTTATTAAAATTATCTCTAACAATAATACATCATGAAAAATAACACGATTGAAATGTATTTAGTTTGGCAGTTTAGAGAAGTTATTTCAAAAATCTCCATCGATTCTTAAAAGAGTGAAGAAAAAATACAATGAAAATAAAAAGAATATGCTGCAGGTTAGTATATATTTGATTTAATAATTAATATTTTAGTTTAGTAATGATTCCAGCATTTAGATTGCTTTTGAGGTTGAATATTTCAACATGTAGAAAATTGGCATTATATTATCAATCTTATAGATAATTGCAATAAGGATATTAATAGCTCATGCGGGAAGCTGCATTATTTTTAGAACGCACTAAAAGCAAATTGTTCTCAACGGGAAGATCCAACAAATTTTTGTAGATGCTGTTGCAATTCAGAAAGATGTAATCATGGTATGATGGATTGTGGATTGACGGATCCCCCGGATTGTGAGTTATTTTTTTTTAATTTTCAGTAATGGGTTGAGGCGGTATATATTGGTTCCCATCTTAGGTTTATATACCTGTAGCTGTTTACAGGTGATTAGATATAGGAAATTATATATTGAGTAGTTTAAGTCAACTCTTGGTGCAGATATATAATTTAACTTCAAGTCTATTGTCATATTATGATATTAGGCTACATTTACATATTCTGAAATCAACATAAGATTAATATCATTTGAATGTAATTTTAAAGATGACGTTTAGCCAAACACCTAAACTATTCTCCCTAAAGAGTTTGTCAGCACTCAGTGGACCCAAGACATACAATAAAACCTGGCTATTGGCAGGAAAGAAGAATTAGAAAAAATATATAGCTCCAGCCAAAAGAATGAAATAGTTTATAGATTAATATATATAAAAATAAGCTTCAAAATTTGTATATATAGTACCAAACGACATTATCAGATAAAAAAAGAATACGTTACGTCAAAACTATGTAACGTCGTACCAATTGCCGACTATTTCCAGTAACCGCAAAATGAAAACTAACGTCATTTGTTTATTTTCACTTCTCTAAAGAGCTTTTGTTTGTTTTGGAACAAGCGGATATTTTATGCTTTACATCTAAAGTAAATTTAATGATTAAAGTAATCTAAAACCATGCATTTTGGGTTCAGATAAAAATTGCTTGATATTTGTTTGCTTAATTGATTTTTCTTTAAAAGGGGATAAATCGAAGACATACTTTTACAGCTTGTTTCTATTTTGTAACATGTTATTAGATAAAGAAGCGGAACCTTTACCTCCTGATATCGCCACAACTGCCGCTCCAACGACAATACCAGAAACACCTATGCGAAAAGTGGCACCCGTGTGTCGAGATTTTAATGGCGGATGCGATCACATTTGCATTCCAATAAACAAAACATCAGTTCGCTGCGAGTGCTATGAAGATTATACGCTACAAGAAGATGGACAAACTTGTAAAAGTGAGACAAAAACGATGAGAAAATATTAAAATCAAACGTTTTATGTGCCCAATTATTAATTGTTTAGGGTATTTTTGAGTGGTACAGGACCGGATATTATTTGCATATTATTTTTGCAAAAAAAAAATAATTCACAGTAATATTTATCTTGCAGCTCATCTACTTCATGCTGTTGCTGATGCTGGTCCAGACATTACAATAACATTACCCCAAAACAGAATAACAATTTCTGCTATTAATACAAAGGGCTCAGTAAAAAGATATCGATGGTGGGCCCCAATCGCATATGGTGACATTGGTGGCATGTCTGTATCGGTAAGTTAAATGTAATTAAGAGAATTTCATTCTCCCAGAAATTCAACTCCAAATCAGATATTAATAATCTAATTTTAAAATAAATCGTATTGGCAAACTAGATTTTTAAATACGACCAGTAATTCAATGCAAATACATGTATCGGAATTTCACCACAGTATAATAATTTACAATATGACGGTTTTAGAATACAACACAACGTGATTTGAATGTTGTTAATTTGAGTGAAGGGACGTATAAATTTATTCTAACGGTTACTGGAATGGATGGTCGTCGGTCATCAGATGTTATGACGTTGACAGTAAAACCACACGTGAGTAGTTTAAAAACATTGAATTAGAAATATCAAATATATTGTCTGTATTTTGTATGGGTTTTGCTAGTTATAACATATTTCTCTGGATAAATCATACCCGACATTGTGCTTTTTTCACACGTGTATTGTATGTTTTGTTTATTGAATATGATATCAACAAGAATCTATGGTGCCAGCTATTCAACAAATTAATAAACTGTACAATCTCTTACAGCTTTATATACAGATGTTTGCTTAGAGTAAGGTCCGTGCCCTGCACTCAAAGACGAAACTATTTCAATAGCTGAAATGAATTATCGTTATTTAGAGTGGACAATCAAAGTGTCAAGAATAGCTTTGATATATTGTTTATTTTCAGCCCTCTACAATTAACGAGAGAGAGGAAACTGCTAAATTGATAAACAAGCCTGTGAAACTACAAGTTACTGTTATTGGCCAAAGTCGATTTGGTTCTGTAATACGTCGCAAAGAATATAAAAACTTTGTAAAGAAGCTCAACGTTACCACGGTACCACCTTCTACTACTACATTACCACGCCTGCTATTCAGAAGTAAGCCAACAATGCCAAAAATATCCATTTTTCGCCGTTCTAGAATTTCTAAGCCAAAAACGACACCCGTTGTTTTATCGAAAGGTCCACTTCTAAATCAAACTACACGCAAACCTGTTAACAATAAAACCAAGCCAACTCGACCCAGAATTTCAAAACCTAAAAGAAGACCTACAGCTAGATCAAGGGTCCCGAAACCGACGACGACTGAAAATATACAGACATCTTCTTCGATTATCACAACTACATCCTCAAATAAAAACTTCCATACCCCAAATCAAACTAGACAAAAATCACAGATGACGCGCCCAGCACCAACCACCTCTTCAAAACTCAATGAAGAGAAAAAACGGTCGACAGAAACCCCAGAGGTGAAGTTAACTACAGAAGTTACTGAAAATAACGCTACATCCCGGAACAAAATTTATTTGTCTGAACCAACGACAGCAATCAAGGAAGGTACTCCCTCTGTTCGTACGACTCCATTTAGTGCAAAACCAACGATATCCAAAGCTATGCCAACTCCTATTTCCCCAACTACTGCAAAATCAGTTGTTTTTCACACAAGAAGCAAAAAACAACATCAAGGAAGTAAGATGTCCTCCGGTAAGAAGGGAATGTAACAATTCATGATTTAATTAAGATTTTCGCAATTTCATTTTTTCTGTGGCGTATCTCGGCACAATGACACAATTGAAAAAATCATGAACGCGTTCTCATATATAACATTTCATACTTTACACGAAAATAAGAACAACAGAAATATTTTGAAACATAAAATCCTTTTTCGATATGGCATGCATCCTCTTGTATATGTTTGAAAAAAGTGTTCGTCTATGTATTGGGAATACCGATTATTACTTATCGATTTTAATCGGTGAGTATGTTGATAGGTATTTGTCTGTCTGTATGTCTGTTTGTCTGTTGGATGCACGCAATATCTCACGAAAGCGAGATTGAATCTGCTCCAGATTTTGCATGTGCATTCATCTTATCTCAGACCAGAAGCCTATTGATTTTGGGCGAATTATGTCGCATAATTAGCGATGTATTAATTAATTAGTGATGGGACACAAGGTGTCACTATGGAGTGAGAGCGCTGTTTTGGGGATCCCCTAACTTTTGATTGATAAGTCTTCGGTCTCTGACCGATATTCTCGTTATCTTTTTGTGACCAAATATGCAACCGACTAAATTTCTGTATATATGTAATGCGGGCAAGCGTCGATAAAGTTTTTAGATAATGGGTGGGGTACTGCAGTAATATAATGGCTCTAGACAGAGAATGTAACCCTTAAGTTTCATGTTTGCCGAGTTCTTTGGCTAGGTAATGTTGAGATTGGGGGTGGGTTAAATCACGGAATTTTAATGTTGTATCCATAAACGTCAAGACGGTGCCAATATGGAAATGACGTCTTGTGATCGGTACAAGGAGAATGAATTGTCTCGCGCAGACAGGACCAAGACGATGAGATGAGTCGCGCTTTTACCTAAACTTCGTGCCTCGAGCTCGCGTCAAGTTACTACTCATTTGGAAAGATTTTTGTGCCTATATTTTAGTGAAAACACTATATGTTCAAGCGTTGGCCATGTGACAATAGTGATGAGCCGCAGAATTGACTTAGCGCCGTGCAGTTTAGTTTTTTGAGCTGGGTCCGGAGTTCCAACTATAACGGACTTGGCTGTTCTTTGACGATAGCACCACAAGTAATAAAATTAGTCAAATATTACAATTCATTATACAATGAGTGTAATAAAAAAGGTGACCTAGGTAAACTGGCAAGAAACGTATTTCCTTACCCACAACAACGTTAAACCACAGTGTGTGGTGTGTTTTCAAGTAATATATGTCACAAAATAATGTAATTGTAAGCGATATTACAAAACCAAACACGAGAAAAGATACCGAAAACACCACGTTATTTCTCGGGATGCAATTTTAAAATAGCTAAAGGCTCTATATATTTTCTTTAAAAAATTTAGTTGAACGGTAAACTCGAATTCTTAAATATATTTAAAGTGAGTAAACTCGCGATGTTTCTCCGACTGCGGCCCGCAAGACATCCTCAAAAGTTTTTGTGGCCCGCCATCCTCGCAACCTTGGACCACCCTGATTTGGCATTTTAATTTACGTTTGCACAAGACGCATGGAATCATGATTACCACCGAACCTGGTAAAGCTAGGGCAGTCCGGGTGCAGATACTAGTAAGTTACGATAGTCCATAGTTTCAGCTACGTCCGGGATATGTTTTTTGGGGAAATTGTGGGTAAAATATTTTGTTTCGGCTTTCGTGTCCATATATTTGAGCATTGTTTTCTTTGTTTTATTTGAATATTTCAAATTTTCACTCACTTCAAAATTTTAGGTCAAACACAGTCTTTAGTGACCCTTATCGCATAATTAATATATATATATATATATGGTTAGTGTTTCCCACAATAACAGATCATTTATTCACGTATAATTTTGCTCATTCTTTTTTTGAAGTTTGTGTCACACATTGTAAGGTAGGTTTTGGCATATAACGATATGCTTGTACATGACATGGATATAAGAACACCTTTGTTTCAATACCAATGCATTAGAATTATGTAATGATTACACTCGAACAAAATCGAATTCCATTATTTTCAATTTAATATACCACTTAAAAATGCAGTTGGCCATTTCGATATTGTATTTAAAACAATGATCCTGTCTCAGAATTAAATGATATTGTATTTTTTAATGTAGGCTATTGTACGGTAATTGTCATCGATACATAGCATTTCAAGCAATCATTAAAATAATTAGCAATCGTCAGATACACTGATTTGTTTTCAATACATGTACGTATGTATAAATTATAAAAATTCATTTAATCATTGTCTCGTGTCTGCCAAGAAAGTCTTTATTGGAACATTATTCTCTCTCCATCAGTAGAGTAATATTTATTTGAGTAAGGTAACTTCAAGAGAATGAAAAACGTCACAGAAAGCAGCGTAGGATACACAAATGAAACAAATGATGCATACGATGCAAATGGAATTCAGATACGTCTCGTGGTATTCAGTATATGCCAGGTGCTGAATATTTCATCTTTTCTCGTGTCTACATGGATATTGGTCTCGATGATTCTGTTCGGTACAAAATATAGGCGATTGAGAGTAAAAACGACCAATGGGAAAAACAACTTATTATTCATAATGGTGTTTTCGACAACTATGCTGTATATTCCAAGAATATCTATGATTCAGTTAATGTTATATAACGATATTAACGTAACAGAAGACATCATGTGTGGTGTCGGATTGTTCGGATACAAATTTGTATATGTCATCAGCCTTTTTTTCGTGTATCTTACTTTGTGGTTTCGGCAACAAATTCTCTATTCCAGACCAAATGTAAGAAGTGCACTTCGAATGCCACAATGGTTTTTCCGCTTCATGAGTCCCATTTGTTTGGTAGCTATAGTCATTACTAATGCATATGCAATGTTTATGCACTTATACGTAGCCGAGACAGAAGGTGGGCCTATTGGATGCATTTTAATTTTGTTCCCATTTACAAGAATCATGCATTTTTGTCAAGTCGCACTGGTAGCCCTTGGCCAGATAACACTATTGTTGCTTTTTGTGATTCCACTTTGTCAGAAAGTTGAAAATACCAAAAGTAAATTCAATCAGAACCACCCTAAATCACATTACAGTACAGTAAATTTGAGTGTTTCCAACTTGAAACCAATCCCCAAAAAGTCAGCACTTGATTCCAAAATCTCATCCATAGTTCCAATTTTAAAGAAATCAAGCTTCTTGTCTGCTTTATGCATAGTGAGCGATCTTATGGCATTTTTCGTAATTATTTTATGTTTGAAAATATTTCCCGACTTGAAAGCACAAAGCATAGCGTTGACTGCATTTGAAATGAACGCTCTCGTGAACAATGTTGCAATATTTCTGGAACTGAAAGACTGGAAATCAATTCTGTTCGTCATATCCAATTGTATTCGTTCCCAGAATCAATTGCCACAACAACACTCAACTTCTGTTAAAGAAGTTTCCACTGTTGCCGCGACTGGGTTATAAATACGACATTTGATGTTTTGAGCTGCGAGATAGGAATGTAATATGTGTCATATAATAAATATATAAAATATTCAGCAACAACTATAATTGATCAATTTTGAATGTTGCTCTTGACTGATAATGTTTGCTTATAAAGTAGGGAAAATACCATTTTAATATTATTTTGGGTGCTCCCGAAGTATGTGCACCAAGATGGCGCACAACCTGAACATAGTATTTGTACCAGGTTAGGGTTATCAATTTGCGCGCTATCTTGGTGCACATACTTTCGGAGCGCGTAATTTGTTTGTTGGACACGAAGTATACATATTGATCACTTGTTGCCAGTGTTGCTTTTATGAATAAATCTCATTAGTACTGGACCTGTTGATTTTACTGTTTTATTGCAATTGATTTTATCGTTTTTTTTCAATTGAAGAATGTAATACACAACCAAGCATTCAACTTGTTACAATTAGAGACTTGAAAACGAGCCGTTGAAGAAGCCCATCTCGGCACTCACGGAGTCCAAGAGGGAACAACTACGCAAACTATATCGGTCTCACCTAGGTCAATTTACCCGTCTTCAACGATTAACAACCCAAAGAACTAATATTTTGTTCGCAACGCACTATCTACAATCCGACGAAATCCGTTGATAGATAAGTGGATCCCATTCAAAATCTAATCCGATTGCAAACCGATTTTCATCAACTCATTTTTATTTGTTATTTTCACTCAACAATCCGCAGATTATCGTGGAAATTCGATATACATTACCCAATGTAATCGCTTTATGCATACCCATATGATCGTATTATTATTCTCAGGTAACAAATAATGCGAAGATGCAATATTGAATGCAACAAAATAAAAACACAAATTGGGAAATCAGAGTGAGAATGTAGATACAGCACACAAAAATTGTCATCGTAAAATAGTGTGGTATTGGTATTAATCGTTGTGAGGTATTCCATACCGCCCCAAGCTCCACTTTTTCACAAACTTTGAACGCAGAGATGAGAGTTGATTGTTGTTGGTTGCCAAGTAACAATAGCATTCAATGGCCTATTTGGCACAAGAAAACGATGGCGAAGGTAGGATAATAATTAAATGATGGAGGTTTTCCTGTTTGCATATAATAATGAGCTGACTTCACAATCGCACAAGTAGTTGATATTCAAATTAAATATGTTAAATTGAACTCAACGCAGGCACAATTCGATGAAAGATTACCTTGTACTGTACAACTACCAGGCTACCGCAAAAGTGACGGACCAGCACCCTTCTGGCGTATAGGGCTTAAACGTAACAAGTTGTACCAATTATCCGCTTTAACATAAGCAAAGAACCAAACAAAATCACGCATTTCCCTTCAGTAAGTAGGCTACCGGTACGCTACACTGCAACAACAGTAACGAGAATATCCTAATAGGTAATGCTCGTGTATTATGCTGGCTAGCTGAACGCCAAATCGGGAGTTTCGATTTACCGGTCGGGACAACAGGACGAGACGTAAAAAGTCGGCTGTCCCGCCTAAAACGAGACGTATGGTAGGCCTAATCAAAGGTAGGCCAATATGATTTATAGTATTAAATATTTTCCTCCCACTGGTCTCTCAACCTTCATAGAAGATAAAACTAGTCTAGTAATTTAGGGATAAATATGCTTTTTACCGGGTATACATTTTGCCTGTTTGAGATAGGAGTAAGAGAATCGTTGAGCGTCTGCTAAAGCCGAAAGAGGTAAAAATATATTCTGAAGTCACACATGTTCCCCGCGGCATCCAATCTTAGCAAAGATAAGATGATGATGTCTATGTTGTACCAAATATGCCAAATTTACTGTAGTGTGAGAATTTATTGAGAAATATTCGGTTTAAAACGTGCTTTTAGCCGTTTCGTTTGGTCTTTTTATTTGTTGTGTT